GTTTTGCACACAGCACTATCAATAGTGGGTATGTAAATACTGCTAGTTTGTTCTTGCTGTTTTCATTTATCAGTACAACACCTATAGGAGGTATTCATCCATCACATTTGTCTTTTCTAGGAACTTTCAGGACCTGCTCCAAATGGAGGAATCAGCCACACACACACCTATGACGCCCAGTATGAGAGGTAATTGATGAGACTCTTGGTGGTTAAACCAAGGTTGACACAGACACTTAGTGCCAGCATCATGCCTGGTCGAGAGACTTGATGAAGTGTCAGCTTTCCTGCTTCCTCCTGTGTCAGTTACTCATTGCAAGAGCCCTAAACACTTGGTAGCTGAGTCTCTGGGAACAGGTGACACACCTGCTGACTAGTTCAGAGGCTAGCGCCCGTGGCAGAAAAGCACTTAAGAAATGTTTTCTTATTAGCCTGAGCCTCTACAAAGAACATATGATCAGACAGGGTCTAGATGCCCTCAGTGGGAAGTTTATACAACTTGAAGGATGATAAGACTTTGGCAAAGAGCTACTGGGATGATTAGATTATCTAATTTTTAAAACAGAGGACCAGAAAGATCCATTTTATGAAGCATTTTCATATACTTTAGATACATATGAGAACCCATTGAAGAACTTGGGTTTTGCTTTAAAATAGATCCCAGTTGAGTTCCTAGCCTTGTTACTGAGTAGCTGGTGATCGTGGGCAGGTTTCTTAACCTCTCTGAGCCTTGGGTTTCTCACCTGTGCCCAGCATCTGCGTCCCCCATCTGTGGGATTGAAGAGCAGCATGCCCACAGAGTGCATGTAAAAGGCCTGGTATAGCACGTGCTTGGCAAGCAGCAAAGAAATGTAGTCGTTGCTGTGGTAATGACGGTAATCATTTTCTTTCTTCCCGTCTTTTTCCAACCCAGGGCCATCCAGGAGAGCCTTCTCACCAGCTCGGAGACCCTGTGCCCTGGTGCCGCCAGTGAGATGAACCACTTTGATAGCGACTTGCAGCTGGCCATGGAGCTCTCTGCCAAGGAGCTGGAGGAACGGGAGCTCCAGCTCCGGGAGGAGGAGGCGGAGCTCCAGCAAGTCTTACAGTTGTCGCTCACTGAGAAATAGACCCCTGCCCACAGGCTGCACGCCAGCACGGCGTCACCAGTGCCCCGGGGCCGAGGGACCGCACTTCGCATGTACGCAGCAGATGCAGCTGCCCCCGTCTTCGTGCCCAAGTGCAGAACCAGGGACTCCCAGGCCCATCTGTCGTGCTCCCTGGTGGCAGGGCTGGGGACTGGCAGGCCCCATCTCCAGGCTAAGGGGAGAGGGGCATCGTCACTTTCCATTAGGTATATTGGCTTGCAGGTCACATTTTTACTACCAGCTTTAGACAAAAACCCCAAACCCCGCAGGTTTGTAGATTAATTTTTATCAAGGAGTGATAACAAAACAAGTTATTGCAGAGTCAGGGTGCTTTTATATATGAGAGCAGCAGCCTTTTTAGCGTGTGGTTCCTGAGAATCTATGACACTTCTTTACAGTTCACCAAAGAAATGGATGATCCACGTCACCTACTCCTTCATTTTCACCTTTACCCAGGGTTTCTAGGACAGTTACCACTAGTCCTCCTTCCTACCTTGATCCTTTCCCTCCACCCCCAGCCAAAGTTAAAGAGGAGAGATGTACAGGATCTATTTTACATTAGGGTTAACTATTTGCATCAAATTACAATATACAAACGACCACAGATGTTGCCTTAGCCTTAAAAATGACTAATAGTTTCAAACCACCTCACTCCGCTTTTTGAGGGATCTGATTTGAACGTGTAAAGGCAGTTCCTTTGGGAGCAGGACCCTCCAGGCTAAATCCAAGGCAGCTAATCCCGGCCCTGAAGGAGCAGCTAGGAGAACCTGAGGCTTGTTCCCAAAGCAGCAGGCAGGCTGGCCAAAAATACCAAACAGCATAGAACCGAACCAAGCTGTGTGTTCCATGCCTTCTCTGGTGAAATATTTCCATGCAGAAGCCTGGGAAGACCCCACTGCATGCCCTAGGCTCACTTGAGAGGAAAGAGTAGACTTGAAATTAGAAAAGGGAGCTACAAGCAGAACTCAGTAGCTCTGTAATTAAAAGGGAAAAATGATTCCTCATTGCTTTTTAGAGTTCAGATCAACATCTTTCTGGATAAATATATTTTTTAACAGAATCTTTTTATTATTTTTAAAAGATAAAAATGACCACTCCCATCAGTAGCAATATAAGGTTATTAATATACATTTTAACCAGATTTTCTCAGGCCTTTTTTGGATACCTTTAGTAGTTAACTATTTTATCCAATCCTTCTATAAATAGCCATTGCACAACATATGGAACCCTGGGGAACACAGCCTGAGGGTCCCTCATTCCAGCCCTGTGTCCTTCCCCACAGGCTGCACTGAAATAACCTGGTAAACAATATTCTCCTCTGTTTTGCCTCTGTTTGCTATCTATTGAGCTCCTTTAGGGATGGGAAGAAAAATATAAACTAGCATACAGTCAGTGTTGCCAGTAAAATTGCTCCTAGTCAAGGAATTGTGCTTGATTCCGTATAATCATCTGCCTTTTCTCGTCAGGGTCTGACCAAAATTCCTTCTCTGCGCACAAGGCTAGTGTACGCAGCATCATGTTTGTTTCAGATACATAGCTTGGCATTGTTTACTCAGTGTTTACCTTAAGTAAAGGCACTTCTTGAGAATTTGGGAATGGTGGCAGTTAGGCCACATTGTTTACCAGTGAGAATCACAGGTGATTGATGTGTTTGTATTCTATTGTTCTGCTTCCCAATGTCTTTGACTTTCTTCCCAGGAAGTCAGTTAAAAAGGGACTGAACATTATGTCAGCCTGTCTGAGCAAGCATTTTTCATGTGTTCATTCCCTCAAAATGCAAATAAAGATTGCTTCCTTAGAGGGTAGGGTGCTCATACAATATCCTAGACAGCCTGTGTCTTTTTTCTTTTCACATTGTTTTTCTAGTCCCTGAATGTACACACACTTCCATGTGATGTGACTGGAAGATTAAGAATGTCCTTACAGTACTCAATAGTATGTTACAGAGGTGGCAGGCTCCACTCAGCCCTCCTGCCCGTCACAGGGTCCTCACGCCCTGTGTCACTTGTTACAAATGGAAAATGAAAGCCAACCAGGGCCAGGGTCACTCCGAGGCCTCTGCAGCCCTCCTGGAGGTGGACTGGCTCCCATGGAGGGAGAGGGAGGGAAGCCAAGCCAACATCTAGTGGCCCTTGTGACTGAATGTGCTCCCCCTTTGAAGCCCAACTGCTTGGTGAGGCTGTTCTTAGAAGTTCCGGCAGTATCAGGGCTTCCAGACTTAATTCTACACCTAAACATGTTGTTAAAACAAAAAGGGCAGTGACAGTAAAAAATGTTTGGGTCCCAGAAATGAGTCCTTGGTATTTTTCCTCTTTTCAGGAGATGTGCTTTTAGGGTAAAATAAGTAGCAATACTTTGAGCCAGTGGGGCACTATGGAAAAAGTTAACTCTTTTTAGGTCAAGACATATAGTAACTATGGACTATTTAATTAAAAAACTAACAGCTTATCTTTAGGTTCATTGAAGCTTGGTTGGTAGCAGCAGCAAGCCTGAATCAAGCAAGTTCTGCATGTAAGACACTGCAAAGCAAGCAAAGTTCCTAAGACACTTTGCTCCATAAAACTTAGCACCCAGTACATAATGTGAGGTGTTGAGAAAGCTAAGTCTGCTCTAAATAATGACAGGAAAAGACCATAACCATCAGTTTAGTGCCAGTTTCATGTGGCACACAGGTGACAGCAAAGACAGCAAGTTGGACTACAGCAACTTCAAATGACTGTTCGCAGTGCAGTAAGTGATGGAATTCAAAGTCCAAGCCAGACCCATGTCTAGAATTACGTGTGGATTTAAGATTGAGGTCCAGCTGGAAAAAGTCACGAACTAATGAGCTTTCCAGGGTCTCTAAATCTCAAGCAGCACTTGGAGATTTATTAACCTCAATTTTAACAGAAGTTAGTACTAGTGTTTGCTAACATAACTGGTGTAAATTAACTGAACATGTCCATTTCGATATACGGTAGGTATTCTGAGTATAGTTGTTTGTGAAGTCTAGGCTTCAGCTACTGCCTCCTCCCATACTCCCAAAGGTGATCAGAAAAGTCCACTTGAAAGTACTAGTTGATGAGTCTGGTGCATGAAAGTTTCTAGTATTCTCTTTCCCAGAATTTTTGTTTCTATCTTTACTCACCTCTCTGTAATAAGCATCTTTCTATAAAGATGATTCTTCTACCTTGAAAGCTCATACTGAAAAAATGGTAACATTAGAATGAGATGTAGGCTGGGTTTTGGGTTTGTCCATGGAATAACTTGTAAGGTTATTTGAGAAAAATGGAACATGATCCTACTGTAACCTGACTAGAGAATACTGAGCAAACAGCAGGTCACAAGGCTTATGAGCCTGGCAAGTTTTTACTGTGTCCTTTTAAAATCCTAAAAATGACAACTTTTTAGGCAGCATATCAAAGCATGGCATTCCAGATGAGGTGGGGATGTGTGTATTCATGGGATGTAAGTCTCAGTGCTAATCAAACCCCCCCTCTCTTCTTCTAGTCAATAACCATGGACTCCTGTGGGACAGGCCAATTGTGCAGATCCCAACTTCACTTGTGTTAGTTTTCATGTCAGGCGATCTTTACCATAATTAAGGAAGATAAAATGTGTGTATCACCATTTTACAGATGAGAAAACTGAGGCTCTTTTGAGAAGTTAAACCAATTTGTAACTTGTGCTGGGATGAGAATCCAGGGCTTCTGACCCCTGGCCCAGACAGAGATAAATTATGGCTCAGTTTTCTCAAGTTATGTCTTGCCTTGGGGCAGTTACTTCACACATGAATTTAAAATTCTATTTTCACAGTGCTTCCTTGAAACAGCAAGTCATTCACACACACACACACCTGTAATTTAAATGCTTGGAAAATAATTACTAGGAGTAATACAGCATGTAAGATACTACTGTAATTTTAATTGGCATTTTGCTCGAAAGTACAGAACAGTGAACATTTCAATGGCTCAATGTTAGGGTTAGAAACAAAATCCTTAGACAGTTACATAGTGTCCCACATCAGGTATTTCACATTAAATTGCGGACTGTTAAATATCAGTGCTGTGCTTGAATGGAGCACAAAATAAGCATTTCAGTTTAGTAACAAAGAAAAACCTAGCACCTTTCAAGTAAATGCTGATAATCACTTTGCAAGTATGGAAGTATCATTTCAACAGGAGAAAAAAATTCCAGTTCACCAACAGTGCAAGTAGCATTTTCAAAGTTGAAATTAAATTTGTAAACACACACCCACCTGATACCTTTGCCTTGTACAGTGAACACACACCTCTCTTGGTTGAGCCCTCCCCACCCAGGACTGAAAAGAGACTTTGCTATTTCCTTTAGATTCCAAATCTGATAAGCTGCCACAGATTTTAGGCCATGGGCTGGAAAGACTCAAGTGCAGTACTTTGAGCAGGATGGGGTACTTCCTCAGATGGGCCAACGAGTAATATTTCTGGCCCAACCCCAGAGCTTCCCAGCCCAAGGAGGCTGGATGCAACATGAAGAGTGACGGCCTAAGTCCCCCACTGCTGACACTGCCTACAATCAGGGCATTCCAGGCCAGGTCAGTATAATTAAAAACATTTGTGATTCTTAACCCATGTGACCAAGTGGTTCTTTCTTGAGTAGGCAACGTCTACATATTAAGATTTTTATCTCATGAATATCTTCAAACATGAAGGATTAGTCCCGTCCAGGGTCACTCACAGAACTGCCATGTTTTCCCATCTTCACATGACCTGGGAGCTTCAGGCCTTACTTTTCACAAGCACAAATACAGCCAGATACTCAAAAAGCAAAACCGAGAAGCAGACTCAATGGCCAGTTATTAGCATTACAGTGTCAAGAAAAAAATAATTGTTAGATATTTTCTCTAAAACATTTAGAATCTATTAACTGTCCAGACCAAAGGTTATTTTCAAGCAGTAAGGTTCTGATTCCAACTTTTCCACCGACCCATGTGCAACACAACTTGATATCCCAGATACTCGGAAGAACCTGCTTGCAGAACCTGCTTGCTCGGCCATCATCGACGCCGAATGGGCTTGTAGACACACAATGCCATGAGGATCACGGTCACCAGCAGGATGCTGAAAACGGTTCCCATCAACACTGCAAAAGGAAAACAGATTACCTCCTGACGGCAGCTCCAGGGTCTGGGATCCATCCACTCACCCAGGGTGATTTGCCAAATGCCACTGGGTGCCAGGCACTGTGCCAGGTGCGTGGGCAACAGCCACAGACAGACTCTTGGGATGCTTCCGTATATGTGGCTGGGGGAGAATGTTAGCACAGAGGAGTATTTCACACAGCTTGACATGCCCTGGAGAAAATGTGATAGTGATGGCAGAAGGCAGGCGGGGGTAGGCGGGGTGGTGCAGGAAGAACCTGAAGAGATGACACAAGCTGAGACCTTAATAAAGGAGTTGGCCAGCTGAAGACCTGCAGGGAGAGCGCTGAGGCTCAAGGGTCAGCAAAGGAAAGCCCGTGAGGCCAGAGCAAGCCCATAAAGCCAATGGGCAGAAAGAAGGTAAGTGTGGCTGAGGTGGAAGGAGTGAAGGAAGAAAGGCAGGAAATGAAGCCAAAGAGGAAGGGAAGGCTGGAGCCAGGTTCATGTAGGGCTTTGTAGACCATGAAGGAAACACTGATTTTATTCTAAGTTTAAGGAGAGGATTGTAGGCAACGAGTAACATGATCTGATTTACTTGGGAAAAAAGATCCCTCTGTCTGCTGCTGTGCAAACCACTTGATTATAGGGGACAAGACTAGAAGTAGAAAAAAACCCCAAACAAACGAAACAGAAACAGACTCCTAAATTCAGAGAACAATCTGGTAAGTGGCCACAGGGATGGGGGGCGGGGGTGGGGATGGGTGAAACGGAAAGGGGATAAAGAGGTATAAACTTTCAATAATAAGTTATGGGGAGGAAAAAGTACAGCATAGGAAACACAGTCATTAATATTGTAATAACTTTGAATGGTGACAGATGGTTACTACACTTAAAGTGGTGAGCATTTCATAATGGAGTCAAAACAAATAGAGGCAGGGAGCCCATTTTATTTTTAAAGGCATTCATAAAAACTGGACATTCATTAAAAGAATAAAGCATTTCAATCTCCAGATAAGTTCTGACAAGGACCTTCTGACCAAAGAAGCAATTAACTAATTTCACAAACCTATTATGCTCTTAAGAGTAAATTTCACATCTGAAATCTCCCAAGTGCTCAGAAATGGGACCTACAGATGATCACTCAAGCTAAGCCCTGACACAGGGCTAGACTGTAAACCAAAGCAACATGCTGGAAGTGAGGCGCTATCCTGTTTGGGTGTCTATCTCAGACATCTTGGGTGGTTATGAGGTTAACCTTTAACAAGCAAATGTACGTTTGTTTGCAAGTATGTCAACCCATCTTAGGTTCCAGCTGGGGCTTAACCATGGCTATTACCTGGTCTGGCTATTGTTCCTCTGAAAAACCAAGGCCATAGTTTTATTTAAATCAATTGTGTGGAGGTATCTGTGGACACCCCCACACACAAAATGCCCCCACATGTGACCCAGTCATTATTTAAAAACTGACCATGTAGAAATATTATCTTTTATTTCATGAAGGAGGGGAAGGATGCAGAAGGTGACAGAGACAGTGTGTCATGAATCCAAAAGGCGAGAAGGAATTTTAAAGGTCTTTGGTAACAAAATCTGTGACTTTGATGAGCTAAATATCATACCTCAAAATAGTCCATGTTACCTAAATACCTGCCGTAATTTTCAAAGTCCTGAATTTCATGTTTCTAAGGTTCTAAATGCAACTGGACCTGAAGTTGTCTTATCCATTTAAACTACTTTCTTACACTTTCGGTTTTGGCAGAGGCTTTAAAAAAACTAAAACTCCCAAAGTAGGAATGCATGAGACTAGAACCATAGAACAGAAATCTTTTAAAAAAATAAAAAGAGCTTAAAATCATGAGTTGTTAGTTAAATAATATCTATTTGGGGCTTCATAAAATCTCCCAGTCTTCATCTTTACCTCTCCCATGTTTTGCACATAGTACTGGTTGCCTGAATGGCAAGATTAGGAAGAACCTAAGACTCCTTAGGTCCTTCCTTATGGCCACTTTCTGTTGTTGAGCCTCATTTCCTACATCTGTAAAATGGGACAAATGGAACCCATCTCACAAGGGTTTTCTGAGGCTTAAATATGGTAAGCTTTGAAAAGCAGTCAACACAGTGCTGGACATATAATAAGCACATGATAAATGAAAGCCCTTATGATGACCAAGAGAAGCAAGCAGCACAGCACAGTAATCAAGAAATATAATTTAATACAACTAATCCTGAAAGACAGGAAAGAAGGCTGCACCACACTGCATAGACCTGGAGAAAAGAGCAGACCTCACGGAACAGGGTCACGTACCAAAGCTGTGGCCTGGTGGGGCCCGAGCCCTTTTCCCACCCTAGCTCACCAGCAGGAGGAAGAGAAACAGAACAGGGAGGGAGTGGAGGCCAGGGACTGATGAACACCTAGCCCTGGATATCTGCTCTGGTGATTTGGTGCAGTTGGAAAGCTAAGACAGGTGGAATACCTGGAGAGACAGAGATTCCAGCTGCTTGTGGAAAATAGGGATTCATATCCGGCTGATCTGGGTGGGCCGTCTGAGAGACTTCCTAAAAGCAAGAGGGCTGCTAAAGGGGCAAGGATTGCACAGAGCTTACTGCTCAGGAGAAAGGACAGGTAGACAAAATTGTCCAGGTGCACTCTGCCCAGCAGGTAGGGAGTTTAAATGATCTTCAGACACCCCACCCATCCCCCTGGCTGGCTATGCAGCTACAAGACCCCCACCATGATACACAGCCTGCTGGGTCTTCCTCCCAGCTAGCCTGCACCTGGGTCAGCCTTGCAAAATAGCACCCCCTGCCCTGGCATCAGGCCAGCCAGAGGGAAGCCTGCCTACCGCAGCTACAAACACAAAGCATAGAGGCTTACACCTGTGTGTTTGGCCCACTGGTTCTGGCAGTGGAGACAGGCATAGTAGCCGGGAAGCAGGAAAGAGTTCTTTCCTCACCCCAAACACCAACACCGCTCCCCTGCGACCCCTAACATTGCTCTGGGGGCTGAGTAGTTCCAGAGAATAGAGCTTCCGGCAATAGAGGGCCCCACAGACAAATTATGAAACGTCAAAGGAACCTGGTTCAAAGCAAAATTATGAATACACCTGAGAAAGACTCAAATGAAATTGACCTCATGAATCTTCCTGGAAGAGATTTCAAAATAAAAATCATTAACATGCTCACAGAGGTACGGAAAGATATTCAAGAACTCAGGGATGAATTCCGGTCGGACATCCAATCATTGAAGAGCACAATGGAGGGTATTAAAAGCAGGTTGGATACAGTGGAGGAGACGATAATGAAACAGAAACTAGAGAAGAAGAATACAAAGAAGCTGAGGCACTGAGAGAAAAAAGGATCTCTAAGAATGAAAGAATATTAAGAGAACTGTGTGACCAATCCAAACAGGACAATATTCAAATTATAGGGGTACCAGAAGAAGAAGAGAGAGAGAAAGGGATAGAAAGTGTCTTTGAGGAGGTAATTGTTTAAAATATCCTGAATCTGGGGAAGGAGATAGTCTCTCAGGCCATGAAAATGCACAGATCTCCCAACACAAGGGACCCAAGGAAGACAACACCAAGACATACAGTAATTAAAATGGCAAAGATCAAGGATAAGGACAGACTATTAAAAGCAGCCAGAGAGAGAAATAAGATCACATACAAAGGAAAGCCATTCAGGCTAACATCAGACTTCTCAGCAGAAACCTTACAGGCCAGAAGGGAGTGGCATGATATATTTAATGCAATGAAGTAGAAGGGCCTCAAACAAAGATAACTTTATCAAGCAAGATTATCATTTAAATTTGAAGGAGGGATTGAACAATTTCCAGATAAGCAAAAGCTGACAGAATTTACCTCCCACAAACCATCTCCACAGTGTATTTTGGAGGGACTGCTATAGATGGAAGTGTTCCTAAGGTTTAATAGCTGTCACCACAGGTAATAAAACCACAGTAAAGAAAGTAGAACAGCCAATTACTAAGCAAATGCAAAATTAAACTAACTTTCCCCAAAGTCAATCAAGGGATAGACAAAGAGTACAGAATATGATACCTAAAATACATAAAGCATCGAGGAGGAAGAAAAAAGAGGAGAGAAAGAAAAGAACCTTTAGATTGTGCTTGTAATAGCATACTGAGTTAAGTTAGACTCTTAGATAGTAAGGAAGTTAACCCTGAACCTTTGGTAACCACGAATCTAAAGTCTTCAATGGCAATGAGGACATACCTATCGATAATCACCCCAAATGTAAATGGACTGAATGCAAAAATCAAAAGACACAGAGCCAATGAATGAATAAAAAAACAAGACCCATCTATACGGTGCCTACAAGAGACTCACTTTAAACCCAAAGACATACACAGACTAAAAGTGAAGGGATGGAAAAAGATATTTCATGCAACTAATAGGGAGAAAAAAGCAGGAGTTGCAGTATTTGTATCAGACAAAATAGACTTCAAAACAAAGAAAGTCACAAGAGACAAAGAAGGACATTACATAATGATAAAGGGGTCAATCCAACAAGAAGATATAACCATTATAAATATCTATGCTCCCAACACAGGAGCACCTACATATGTGAAACAAATACTAACTGAATTAAAAGGGGAAACAGAATGCAATGCATTCATTCTGGGAGACTTCAACACTCCACTCACTCTTAAGGACAGATTCACCAGACAGAAAATAAGTAAGGACACAGAGGCACTGAAGAACACATTAGAATAGATGGACCTAACAGATATCTATAGAACTCTACACCCAAAAGCACTAGATAGAATACACATTCTTCTCAAGTGCACATGGAATATTTTCAAGAATAGATCATAAACTAGGCCACAGAAAGAGTCTCAGTAAATTCAAAAAGATCAAAATTCTACCAACCAGTTTCTCAGATGACAAAGGTATGAAACTAGAAATAAATTATGCAAAGAAAATGAAAAATCCCACAAACATATGGAGACTTCACAACATACTCCCAAATAACCAATGGATCAATG